ACAAAAAGCTTCTTCCAAAACAAAAAATTCTATTCTTTACCTTTAAAGAATAGAATGTGAATTTATGGTAATTCAAAGGATTTATATTTTCCCGTATCTTTGAACTCCACGCATAACTTTCTGAACCATAGAAACCTACTAATTTCTAGCGGGCATGGAAGCATATCTTCCTTTTGTGCTCTTTTTTAATACAGCAAAAAAAACCACCGTTAATATAATTATTATCAGAATAAAAGACAATACGATGATGGCTAATTAGTTTTTAAAATTAAATCAGAAACCACATTTTCTCTTTAATTATAACATCATTAGTAATACAATTACAAAAGTTGAGTTGAAAATCACTAATGATATGAAAAGTTTATTTTTTTCATTTAAGTCCTTTTTCTTCCTGGATTTTTTTTTCCCATTCAAGTTATTTTTTTAATTGGGTCCCTTTTGCTTCCCATTTAACAAACCTCAATCTTTTTCCACCTCAATTTTATTTTTTCCATTCAATTTCCTTTTTTTATTGGATTTTTTTATTCAAGACCCTTTTTAATTGGATCTTTTGCTTTTCGTTTAACAAACTTCAACTTTTTTCTTTCATTCGTGTCCTTTCTTTTTCTTTTTCTAATGGTTCATTTTACTTTCTATATAATGGATCAACTTTTTTATTGGATTTGAAAGATTTAACATATTTCTACACAATGCTTCATCCATAACAAAAATTCTATCACTCTATCATTGTCAACATATAAAAATTTAGCCTCGAACGCATTGTTTGGTTCTTCCCATTTCATCTTTTAATATAAATGGGCAGGAGAAATGTCATGCATTTTGTTTAGCATGAGATTAATGGTGAATTGTTTCCCGGGTGTTCCTATCTTCCAAGTAAGGTCTTGACTTCAAGATTCTACACCCAAAGAAAATCAAACAACTACAAGACCATTGATGTCTATGTTTCTATGCACTCGAATGTTTTTTTTATCAAAAAGTTTACATTTATTTTACTACTTGTCTGTATGAGACAAAACCGCTCATTCTATCGGGAAAAAAAGATCACAAGAAAGAAAAATATGAGGCTTTGTGGCGTGATGCAAGGTTTTTATTTTTTATTTTAATTTTTCAGTGGATCATTTAAGTTAATAGAATTGATTTAAACGTTATTAAATTAATCCTATTCAACTCCGACAACTTCTTTTCCAATATAGTGAGAGGCAATGTTACTAACTCCAGCTAGATTCACTGATGCATTCTATTCCAAGTCAAGTTTTAAACGACATATAGAGTTTATTTAAATATATTTAGATGATATTGGTGAGTCCATTCTGATTTAGTCAAAATTTCATTTGATTTTTTTATAAAAATTTTAAAATAATATTATTTTCATTAACTCAAATTAACTTAACGTATAAACAAAGCATACAGTGAATTTTGGATTGCACTAAAAAAATTTAATAAATTTATAATGGGGTACCACTCACTTGACCCACAATATAAAGCCATTACAAACTTGCTCAAAGATTTGAGGGTGTGTTTGTTCACGTTTCCAAAACTTTTAAATATTTTTTTATTTATAATAAAATTTTTTAGATCATTTTAATTTGTTAATATTAAAAATAATTTTATAAAAATAAAAAAAATTATTTTAATATATTTTTTAATAAAAAATATTTTAAATTATTTTCATTATTACAATCTCAAATAGATATGAGACTGATGATTTCATCTTCAAAGCATTTGAGTGAAAGGATTGCTACTGCCTCATAGACAGGGGTGGAATCCCCAAGGTTTATTTTGGTTCTTGTATTTATATAATTTAGAAATTTAAATTAGCCTCTCTAGAAATTTTATGGAATAAGAGTTCAACAATAATAAGTGGTTCCTCATGTGATCGATAATTTTATTTAATATATATTGAAATAAGAGAAAGAGAATAATTAAACCATTTATTTTTCTATTTAGATAATATGCTCTAAAGTTGGAAAGACAACATATATATATATATATATATATATATATGAACTAAGTAATATATACTAAATTAATTGTATGTCTTGCATTATGGGATACGTTTTTATGTATGTGACTATTTATATCTAATCAGTTCTTAAGTAATTTGATTATATTATTTTAATTTTATTTATGTGTTATTATAGTTGTTATAATTATGTGTATTTAACACAAGTAATAGTAGATCCCATAACTTTTATAGGGTATTATTTTTTCCCTAACTTTTAATTTTTTTTATTTATTGAAATTAAATTTATAATTTTTTTTCTCAAACTAAAATCATAAGGTAATAAAATATTTTTAAAAACATATGACATATATTATTTTCTTTATTCATATCAAATTTAAATTTCTAAATATTTTTTTCATAAGAAATACTATTCTATCATTAGATTTTGTTATTTTACTGAAAAAAAGCTTAATTATTAAAAATAAAGAATCAAATAATACACAATTGAATTTCTATATTGTCAAAAACTGTTGAACTATTTTGATATTGGTCGATCTAGTATATAATATGAGTTTGTTTTTCTATTTTACCAAAAATATATAATATGCATCTTAAACTAAAATTTATGGTACGAGCTTTCTATTTGTTTAATAAAAAAATAACTTGCAATAAATCTACGATAAAAAAATTGTGATTAAAAATATTTAGCATATTCTCTCTTTTTTTCCGACTTGGTATAATAGTTTGATTTTTCTATTTTTATTTGCATACATTATCCTTAAGATAGACCCATTACACACACACATGTTTAATTTTATTGGTTAAAACTTACTTATATTGATTCATACGCAATCTATATATCATAACCATATTAGCATTATTTTAAATTACATTCATTTTAAAAATTTATATGGGACAAGTAACAAGGATAAAAACTATACACTTGGCATCAAAAGAATTGGATGAGATGTCCTGACTTTTATGTCCTGACTCCACCACTACACAGACATGGAAATCTCTTATGGGACATCTCATGTGGGCATTATTAACTGTAATAATAAATGGTCAATATTACCTTCTCATTTTTTTGTCCATGAGATGAAGGGCTTTCTAAGAAAAAAATAATTATTTTTATCAAGTTTTTCCCATGAGGAGTTTTGAATCTCAAACCCCTCCCTTTTAGGAGAATGTTACTCTTATCAAAAAAAAATTTATCAAGTAGTTACTTAGATTCAAGAAATTAATGTCAATATTGGGCAATAATAAGCATGTTCTCTTGTCAATAGAAGCATGGTCCCAAAACACTTTATATATATATATATATATATATATATATATATATAATTTCTATACTATTCCCATGTAAGAGATCGAAAGCCTACCGATCACTAGGAAACTCTTTGAACTTTATCAAAATCCCTTTTACGGCATCGACTATCGATTATGGGATACAGAATTTTCAGTGCTAGGACAATGATTGATCACCAAGTTTCTAAAGAGCTTTTGAACGAAAAGATATGTATGGTTGATTAATCCTAGGAGAGTACAGCTCAAACAATAATGTTCTTTTTTTTTTAAATATGACTTTGGATTCGAGAAAAAAAATTTCAATTTTTTTTTTAGAAAATTTACTTATCTAAAATGTTACCACCAAGATATTTATCGTAGTTATACAAAAGCAAGCTATAGTTTTTTTTTTCATCACTTAAGTAATTATATTCTTACAAATATAAATATTGTTATGTTTAACATTTTTATAGAAATTAAGATTATCATTAATTAATTAATATGTTATATCATCACTTTTTATTTATTTACATTTTAAAAACAGTTTATCGGTTTAATATATATACATATATATATATAATGTGATATTTCTACAACTTGTTTTTATATTCTTAATTGAGTTAATTTTATCCTTGAGTATACATAATTAAGTTTCTTATATATTCTTCTATAATATTTTTAGATCAACATATTGAAATTAGTTAAGTTATTTGCATATAAATATAAGAAACACATGACTTATAAACTTAATATATGTTCAAGCATAATTAAACTTATCATCGTGTGCAAATCATGTAATTGATTTTGATAAAATGACATGAAAAAGTAATCTAAATGATAAATGATAAATTAAAAAATTTACTAATTTAATTAATGATGAATTCTACTTAGAAATAAAGATGATATATTAAATAATTGATTGATATTTTAGTTCAAGTAATTTGATCCATTCTTTATAGTTAAAAAATCTAATATAAAAAACTTAGGGGTTGATTATTTGTAATAAGTGATGCTAGATAAACCAAAGTGATTAATAGTTATAGTAGCAGTAAGTGGTACATATTAAGTCATGTAATCGATAACTAATATATATAAAAAGTCATTTTTAATAGATGTAGAGACTCTCCAAGCATAAAGATAGTAAATTTATGAAAAGAGAAAGTATAATGATATTTTAGAAAAATAGATTCTGAAAATATATATGTTAAAAATAAAGAAATTATAAACTTTTAACTTGAAGAATTCATAATATATTTATAGTCTACAAATCTTGTCTTGTTATGAAGAGAAATGATTAAAATTTAATTTTATCCCTATAATATTTTAAGTTGTATTATACTTAAAATAAAATATATATTAGATTAATATAAAATATTAAGAAACTCACATTGATTATCAATAAAATTTCTAGTAAGTTTTGGGCTTTGGCCCATTAAAAATGAAAAATAAATATAAACATGTTATTTAAATCCAAACATATTAAATTTGTATGTGAAAGCTTAACCCTACACCAAGGGTGTTAAGTAACACACCCAACAAGATAAGCATGAACTCAAATAAAAAGTTTAAATCTTTGTCTTTTAAAGGATTGAGTTTCTATTGTTTGGATGAAAATTAAATAAAAATAAAAATAAAAATATAGACAGAAGAAATAATTTATAATTACATCATAAAAAAATCCATGCTTTCAAATAATTATTTTAAAAAAAATATAAAAATAGAAAGCAAGACAAATCTCCTTTAAAAGAGAAGTTCAATATATCCGTATCATACAATCAACCAACCCCACTCAATTACCTAGCTCTCAAACCCAACACAAACTAGTATTTATTTACAACTAAACCGTGGACAAATTTATTTATTTTTTCTCCACAGATGCAAAATTAGGGGTTATATAGCGCGGCACAAGTGTCTGAACTTGAACATGTAAAACTTTTCTTCTGAGTCTCGCTCGTCAAGTGTGCTCATCATGCCACGTTTGCATGCATGGATAATTAAGCTGCCCCAAGGTCTTGATTACAGGAATCCCTTTAGGCATAATCTTCCGAAATTTGAGTCACAAAACTTGAACTGCTGTACGGTGCCAGACAGGCAAAGTCTCCGATAGATCACAAGTTAACATGGATGCCCTAGACTTATGCGGGCGCCGGTCCGAAAATCCACCAGGCAAATATGGTGCTGGTGTTGTTCTCTCAAATGTGCCTGCCCACTTAGATTGCATATACTTAAGCTTCCTCCATGGACCCAAGTGCATCTTCTTCTCCTTCATGCACTTTTTAGCTGCTGAGCATAATATCTTGATCAAGGCTTTTAGCCTTTCCGTCTTGCCTACATATACCTCTGGTAACCGGTTAATTAGTTGTTTGTATTCATGATTTGCTTTCGCCATCTCAAATTCGGCTCGAAAATTCAACTCAATTACCACTCTCATCTCTCCCTTCTTTGAATTTAATTTGCCCACCACTTCCAAAAAAGTGTGTTCCCCTGCATAAATTTGCAGAAAAATGTTTAACCCCGGCAGTCACTTAGATCATACATGTCTATATAGCTCCATTAATAACATCCTATGGTCTTAATCAATACTGATTATTTCATATATGATTGTCATTTTATGGTTAACAGTGAAGAACATTTTTGTCATAAGAAGATAGAAAGAAATGATTTATGTGTTGAACCTGAAGGAATTTCTTCAGATCTCTTCCACTTGGACTTGCAAATGGCACAATTATAGCCTTGATTTTGAAGCCGAATTGAAATTTCTCTTTGCAAACAATTCCGGCAAGCTCCGGCCATCGGTTTCCAACACAAACAATACATGCCAATCCCATCAATTTCCTTCATAGCTTCTTTTGTAGCTTGACGAATTTTGGTCTCAAGAGGACTTGTTCTATACAATGTTCCCTGCAAAAGCAACCGTAAATAATCAATACTAATTTCCATTACGCATAATTTAATCTCACAGTGACCTTAAAGTACCTTGGGCACATTGTAAATTGAAAAGAAAATGAAAATTCACCTGAAGAAGTTGGCTTTGTGTTTCCCAAAATCTGTTGTTCTCTTCAACATTACAAGGACTACTCTCATCATCATCATCCTCATTATAATCACCTGAGGTACATGAACTCTCATGTGACACTTCCTGTTCTTCCCAAGATCCGAAAACAATGTCAGTAAAATACGCTGGATCATCAGAAAATCCGACATCCTCCTCAAAACCCCTGTAGTTTAAAGGTATTCTGGCTATGACTTGAGCCATGTTATTCTTAAACAAACAAGGCTTCAAAAAAAAGAAATGTTTTGAGTTGTGGTTTGGAAAAGTCCCTGAAAGAGTGGCGTATTTATATTAAGATTTCAAGACCTAAGTGGACGTACTATATGCCGCATACATGAAGGTTGTCTGTAACTTATGTGGCAAGTACTCATTGGATCTTGAGCAAGTTTATTACAGTGGCAGCTGTGTTCCACGTCAGTCTGAGCAATAATTGTTTAGCTGGAGAACTCTGGATATGCTCAAAATATTCTATCATGAGATGCTAGTATGTTACAGAGTATTGGTCAAGTTTATTAAGATAATCACACAAGGAGTGATCATTAACTAATTTGAAAATTTGTGAGGATTTATCCTAATAATAGGAGGTTGTGGGGTCTGTTATAATTAAATTAGACAAATAGAAAGTTGCCATGTGGGGAAGGAGTTTTGGCATGGCATTTTGTAGGGTTTTTATTTTGGGTTAATCCAAATTAAGTGGGGGTCTAGGAACATGATGAAGTTCTTGGCATATGCCATCAGGTTATTGCATAATGCTACTTGCAAGGGGATATAAGGATATTTTTACTAGGATATTCTATAATTTAGTTTTCTTTGTTTATATTTGGTTTGGTAATATGGTGTATGTTATTTTTTTTAAAAAAAATATTTTTTAGTTAAAAATATATTAAAATTTGGTTTGGTAATATGGTGTATGTTGTTTTTTTTAAAAAAAAATATCTTTTAGTTAAAAATATATTAAATAAATATTACTTCATTTTTTTATATATAATTATATCAAATCATAAAAAATAATCTAAAAGGTATAAATTTGATACCTTTTAGATTATATCAAAAATAATCTAAAAGGTATAAAATAATCTAAAAATATATAAATAAATATTACTTCATTTTTTTATATATAATTATATCAAATCATAAAAAATAATCTAAAAGGTATAAATTTGATACTCTTTTAGGTGAAAAAAAAATTAAAAGATAATTTGAAAAATAAGCTCAACTACAAAAATAAATACACCATTACTATTTATCTATCTAGCTGGTAATGTGACATTTCAAACCATGTTTGGTTTGGACTGCCTAGACAAGTGTTATGTTAGTGTTTACTAAACATATTCAATAGATGATAGATAATAATAAATACTCGACTCGTAATTTGTTGCGGGTTAGATATATTTTTAAAATAAAAATATTGAATTTATTAACTTTTCAAATTAAGAAACATATATAAATTAAGCTGAGATATTTACCTAGTTGTATTCAATAATTTTTTATCAAAGAAAATAATAATAATAATAGAAACACAAATTAAATTGATTGAATAAAAGAAAAGAAAAATATATTATGCAATGTTGCATATATTAGAAATATTATTTGAAAATAATTTTTTTGATTTTCAAGAATAAAGTTTATTTAGACTAAACAAAAAATTATAGATGAATTAGAAAAACTCTTCAAAATTTAAATGTATATAAAAAAATAATCATTATTTGAAATAGGCTATCTAAATAAAATAAAAGAGAGAAGGAGTATTAATCTAAATATATAAAAAATTAAAAAATACAAAAAGCATTAACTTAAAAAAAATGAGAAAAAAAAAAAGAAGCAAAGCCTAACCCACATGACTAGGCTATTATTATTTTTTTATTGAGACTAGAGTGGACAACATGATTTCTTAAAAAGAAAAAAAATTAGACTATATACGATATTTGATTTATCTAATTTCTCTTTTTTTTATGATAATAAAAAAATCAAGGTTTATATTTTTTTACTTAAAAAATATTTTTTAACCTAAAATACCTACAAAATATCTTAAGAACCATAATAAACCTATCAATAGTATAAAAAATTTTAAAAAAAATCATCTCAAAAACTAAAATTAACCTGAAATCAAAAATAAAATTAAGTTTAGATATATTTTTTCATAAATTTAAGATTAAAAAAATATAATATGAATTTTTCTTATCAAATGAAACCATTTGAAATAAACATTAACAATTTTGATAGCTTAAATTAGCATTAATAGTATTTGTCTTTTTTTACCACTATAATTTGATTAGCTCTCCTAGTAGTTTTTCAACTATGAATTAAAAATAATAAAAATTAAATTTTATATTAAAATTAAATTTAAAAAAAATAAAGATACTAAAATCATATAATATACATTATTTTTAATGTTAGATCACTAAAGTATATCTTTTTCAAAACTTTTAGCACACACCATTCATGTTTGATATTTTTTTAATTTTAATTATCATTTTTTTAATTCCTTATTTGCTTAAGAAATTTAAATTAATTAGCTTTCAATCAAAATCAAATCATCAGAATAAAACTTTAAAGATTAAAATGAATTTTAAAATAATAAATAGGGCTACATGAATCATGTAGATAAATAACACATTTTAAAAAATAAATAAATAAAATAAAATAACATATTAAAAAATAAAAACTGAGCTATTTTAACTTTTCAAGTTGTAGTCAGTAAAAATGCTTGTGATACGTAGCATGGGTCCTATAGTTTAGGGTCAATGATTAGGCAGTAGCATGGGTCCTATAATTTAGAGTAAATGATTAGGCATTATAAAAATACAGTTTTAATATAGAAGAGATTTGTCTTCTTCGAATCCTTGTATATATATATATATATATCAATTTTGTAATATTTTATATATTTATTGAATTTACAGATATTTAATAATTTATAATATTTTATATATTTATTGGATTTATAGAATATTCAGTAAATAATTCAGAGAGTTTTTACTTCATTTAATTAATATAAAGTTTTTAAAGGAATTCGACCGCTTATTAATTGAAAGCAGAGGGGCCGGGTTAATAACTTTATAATAACCAAAGGGACAAAGTCGACAGCATCAGAGACCATGCATGAAAGTTTAGTCCCAAACAAACTGAACTTGTTACAAGACAAATTAGTTGTTAAATGGATAAGAGAAACTTGTTTGTCATTTTAAGGGTGCACGTGGCGTTCTGGTTAAATGGATTAAGACAAGCTCAATACAAGGGGCTCAAGTGGTTTTCGTTTATCTTTCGGTGAAAATGATTAACGGGGCTCCATTTCATCTTCAAGCTCAATAATGAAAATGGAAACTTCAATTCAAGATAGGTTCCTTTCTTTTTATTTTTCCTGCAATTAATTTTAAAGTTATTAAACTCAAACTCACGGGACTTATGGTAAATTAGACGTTTTAACCCAAGTTAAAGTTATTTTAATTTAAAAATAAAGATAAATTGAAATTTTTTATTTTTTAAAAACAAATTAAGTTTTAATATTGGACTCGTTAAGTCAACTTTGATTTGTTTTTTTATAAATAGATTTGGTTCAAGCTAGAGGCTTGGCTAAGTGGATTTCAAATCAATTATTATGCCTTCAAAGTTAAAATTTAAAATATATTTTTATAAAACCATTAAAAGCAAATTTGTTCTTGAAATTTAAGAATAACGAGATTTGTTTAAAGAATCAATTCTTATGCCTTCAAAGTTAAAATTTAAAATATATTTTTATAAAACCATTAAAAGCAAATTTGTTCTTGAAATTTAAGAATAACGAGATTTGTTTAAAGAAAAAGTGTTGGAATTAAACCAAGTTGTTATTAATTTCTAATCCTTATAGTCTAAGGATTTGATCTCCTAGTAGATATAGGTTTTTTGGTTGATATAAAATTTATTAAAGATTATTTTCTAATTAATATTGAATTTGTTGGTAATTGGATTTGTTGGTGGTTGGTTAGAGATTCTATAAATATAGTTGCTGGTTTTGTGTCTGTGTGTTTAAAAAAACACTTGTACTTTGTGTGGTTTTTAAAAAAAATATTGTGTTTATGCTTTAATTTTTCTTATAATTTTATTAAATTGCGTGACATGTATCAAAAATCAATGCATTGATTAATAAGATTATTATCTAAAAAACCATGTATTAAAATTGGAAAAAAAGAAATCTTGAATTAGAAAAAAAGAGGTAAACTTTTAAAAAAGTGATTATTTAAATACAGAATTCATAAAAAAACAATATGGAGGAAAACAATTCATAAGAAGAAGAAGAAAGTAACAAAGCAAAATGCATCATCAATCCTGAATGATAGTTTTTTGCCCACAAAATATGTTTTTTTCTCTCCAAAAATGTGATTAATGAAAAAGAGATCTCAAAGAAAATAAAGCTTTGCATCTTTTAGAAATAAATTGGTTTAATCCATTTAGATCAAATCCATAAAGTAACAATTTCTCTTATGATGCAATGAATGATGAAAATATTTTTTAAGAAAAGCAAAATATACAGGAATAAGCAATCGATGGGTATAGGTAAAAAAGCTTTGCCCATTTCACAGGCATTCATGCTATGAGCATTAGGTATGACTGCCTAGATTTAGCTTTTTGGGTAATTTAACTCACCAACCTTTTATATAGCCGGTACTTAATAAGCAGGAGGTGTGTTTTTTATTGATTTGTAAAGTATTTTTTATTTAAAAATATATTAAAATAATTTTTATATTAGTATATCAAAATAATTTAAAAAAATTAATTTAAAATAAAAAAATTATTTTTTTCAAAAATATTTTTCAAATACAAAAATAAACAAAATGTGTAATGCTAATGGTCCTTATAAAATAAAATCTTTTTTTTTTTTTGTTGTGAGATATTGTTTGTATTTTTTGTTATGAATAAATCGATAATATTGATTATATGTTTTATCATTATACTATGCGGAATTTTTATGATAGATTTATTTATTAATTGGAGTGTTTAAGTTGTTTATCTATAAATTCAAAAATCTTTAGGAATAGGTTTTTATTGATTTATATAATTAACTCATAATCAATTTATTTTCGAATTCTTAATTGGAGTGTTTAAGTTGTTTATCTAGAAATTCAAAAATCTTTAGGAATAGTTTAGGTTTATTAGAGATAACCTTGTTTCCCAGTGAAGGTTTTTATTGATTTATATAATTAACTCATAATCAATTTATTTTCGAATTCAAGACTCTTGACTGACCTATTTTATATATCTTACCTTTTATTGTTTGGTTTTTTAATTAAAATTCTTAGTTAAAAATTTTAATTACACAAAGTTTGATTTAATTAGAAATCCTAAATATATCCTAGACTTGATTTATTAGTTTGGTCTTTTGTTTATTTGCTTTTGTGTTAAGATGTTCTCTTGTAAACTCTCTTCTTATTCTGTCACTAATTTTTAATAATTTTGTTTTAAATATTGATTTTACTCGACTACTATATATATATATATATATATATAAAATTCTCACCACTAAACGCTATTATCCTTAATAATTACTCAGTTAACATCTATTCTCAATTTGGAGTGCTACTCCATGCAAGTGGACATGGCTTAGGGGTATATAAATAAATTTCCATGAACGACTACCTAAGGAGGCTAAATCAACTCACTAAAAAACACAGAGAGTTAACGTTCTCTCCATCAACTTCCTATAATTTTGGCAAATACACACACAACATAGGATATATTTATTTGTTGGAAAATGTTTTTTTTTATAAAAATAAATAATTAAAAAATAAATTCTTAAGAAATAAATTATTTTTTTAATTTTTGATAATATCATGAAAAATAAATTAAAAAATATTTTTTGTTGTTCGATATTTATGTCATGGAAACTAAACTAAAAAATATCTTATTAATATTTTATTTTTTAAAATTTTTAAAAAAAATAAAAAAAATCTTACAAATTAAAAAATTGTATGAGAATGAAATTGAAATTTTTTTTTAGAAATTATATCAAATAAAATAAATAACATTCAAAATAATAGAGATCAAATCTAATACATAAAAATATTATATGACGATGAAATTAAAATAATAATAATAATAATTTTATAAATTATTTTAAATAAAATAAGTAAAAATTAAAAAAAATAAAGAATACATTTAATAAATACAAAATTTCAAAAAAATATAATAATTATTATTTTTTTAAATAATAATATTATACGTGAGCAAGACCTCGTCAACCATGGTTTTCCTTTTTTTTTTTAATCCACTTTGTGCTTTCACTTTTCTTCTTTTCCTTATCCTTTTTATCGTGTTATTTTATTTTATTACAACTTATTTAAAAATATAATTATCATTATTTTTTAAATTTTTTAAATTTTTTTACTTTTTTTAAAAAATTATTTTTGATATTAGCACATTAAAATAATTAAAAAACAGTAAAAATATAATAATTTAAAATAAAAAATTAATTTTTTAAAAATATTTTTTAAAAAAATACTTAATTTAAAAAAGCACTCAAAGTGCACCAATTTTTCCATATTTTTATCTATCAAATTTTTTTAAAAAGAAAGAGTAAAAAAGGTGGTGGAAACCAATTAGTCCTGCATTCTGCCATCTTAAAAAAGGTGGTGGAGACCAATTAGTCCTGCATTCTGCCATCGAGATCAGCCAAACTAGTGCCACTGTGAAAACCTGTTGATGGTAAGAAGACACTGTAAAGAAAACTATTAGATTAAGGCTTTGTTTGTTGGCAGAAAAATTATTATTTTTTAAAATAAACTTTTTAAAAAATAATTTTTTGGAAAGTAAATTTTAAAAAAATAAATTTTTAAAAAGTAAATTATTTTCCAATGTTTGGTAATGTTATAGAAAATAAACTGAAAAACACTTTCTACTGTTTGGTTATGGTATGAAAAATAAAATAGAAAATAATTTATTTATATTTTATTTTTTTCAAGTTTATTAAAATAATAAGGAGCAAATCTTATAAATTAAAAGTTGAATAATAATGAAATTAAAAAAACATTTCATAAATTATTTTAAATAAAATAAATAATAATCAAAATAATAAAGATCAAATCTAAAAAAAAATGAAAAAATTAAAACAATGATAATTAACATTTCATAAAGTATTTTTCAAATAAAATAACTAACAATCAAAAGAATAAAAATCAAATTTGATAGATAGAAAATTTCAATAAAAAAATAATAGGAGAAAAGCAAATAACAATTATAAAAATGAAGACCAAAGTTAATATAAAAACTAAATTTTAAAAAATGAAATTGAAATATAAATATTCAAAACAAAATATATATAACAATCAAAAGTTTGAGGATCAAATTTGATATAATCAACAAATAATGACATTTCTAAATTTTTCACAACTTCCGAAAAGTGTTATCCTCTTAAATTTTTCAGGAAAACACTTTCCTGAAAATCAAGCCAAATTTTTCTTTGACTGAAAAGTGTTTTTCATTTACCAACTTTCTAACAATAAACAAATATAACAAATTTGGAAAGTAATTTCTAGAAAATCACTTTCTAGAAAATAAATACAATAAAATTTGAAAAGTGTTTTCCTGAAAACCACTGTTTAAAAAAAATATAGCTAAAAAGAAAAACACTTTTCTGAAAACTAAATCAAATTTTTTTGACTGAAAAATATTTTTTATTGATCAGAAAGTATTTTTTGTTGATTGAAAAATGTTTTTTGTTGATCAGAAAATATTTTTCATTGACGAACTTTTCTAATAATAAACAAAAATAAAAAATTTTAAAAAATAATTTCTCAAAAATTATTTTTTAAAAAATAAATATGATCTAATAGAAAATTATGGGAAAAGATACCTAGGTTTAATGAGCCTTGAAGGCACCCATAACTACGTTGTTTTGTCATGTTTAAACAGATTAAACAGCTGAATTTGTTATCTATATTCAAATATTGAGATAAATTAATAGATACTAAATAAAAAAATTATAAATCATTATTATTAATTATTTTAATATTAAAAAGTAAAATTAAAAAATAATTTTAATTAAAAAAATAAAAAATAACTTGAACCAGCTTTTATTAATCATTAAACTTGTAATTCTTGTGATATTTAGATAATTTTATAAAAAATAAAATTAAAAAACTTAATTTTTAACTAATTTAATATTAAAAAATATAATTGAAAAACATAAAAACAAAACCAAAGAATTAGAACCAAATTTAATATTTAAAAATAAAATAATATCCCATTTTATTTTGAGTTTTCTAGAAAATTAAATATAAAAATAAGCATCAATCAAATATTATATTTTTTTTTTAGACATTAATAACAAACAAGCCTAATCATAAATTAATCAAACTGGAGTGTAAAATAATAATAATTAATAATGAATTTAAAATTTGGTTTTTAAAACTTTAATTGTTTTAAATTAATAAAATTATTTTTTTAATTTTTAAATTGAACATCAACTGAGTGTTTTTTTTTTTTTCAATGCTGCGAGAACCAAATACAAAACTAACTACCGTAGAGAATCAAGCCTGGTCTCAAATAAACTGCACTTGAAAAGATAAAATAACGAAAAAAATTTGTTAATTTCCAAATCCAGCATCAACAGAGTGACAGTTTTTACTCGACAGCCAAATCTCTGGAAGAAAAAAGAAAAGACAGGAAAAAACCCTAAAATAACCTTACAAAATACCCAAGCCTTCCAGCATCATCAAGGGCAAACACTGTCTGCAGAAACCAATTTCATGCCAAATCTCCTAACTCTGATACAAAAGAAAGTGTCTCCGCTTCAAGTGATGATTCAACATCATCCAACAACTACTTTCTTGTCTTTCCTTTGCCCTCTTCTCAAGCTTTTCTCTGTAAGTGTCTTTAACAACTCCTAGCTAAAGAAATGAACATTTTTAATTTCACTTTGTAAACATTAGACTTCAAAATTGGATGATGTAGAAACTTTCATGTTATATACTAAACTGGATTGGGACATGAAAATTTTGATCTTGGCTATAAAGGTTGGAACTTTTTCTTTGTTTCTCTTGTCGGTCCATCTGGGTCTTTATATAATCCTTGTCATCATCAAGAAATTTATAGGTTTGGTTGTTCTTTCTTGCAGGGAGATGATCCCTATCGAGAACGGAATTATACTTTGAAGGTAATCTCTTCGGACAGTTCCCTTGTTTTAAGCATTTATTGTTTGTTCTTTAATTATTTTTTTTGACGATTCATTAGCAATACTTTTCTCTTTCAGTTAATTTTGGTTGATATTCCTCCTCAATTTGCATTAAAAGTTTTTGAAATGACATTGGCCATTGTCTTATTTTTGCAAATCTTTTTTTGTGTCGATATTGAATGCATGAATTAGAAAATGCTTCAATTCCTGAATAATTTTATCTATATGTATTTGTTGTTTAAGGTAGAAATTATACACAAATCATCTTAATTTAATAATTTAAATAAATAAAATTTTAAAATAAAATTTATATATATTTAATTATTAAAACTTTAATATTATATTAAAAAATCATCTCAACTTAATAATTTAAACTATCTTAAAATATAATTTATATTATTATATAACAGCAATTTATTTCTTTTCTACCTTGACATTTCTTCCGTGGGGATTAAGATCCCTACTTAAGAATTTGAACATCCAAGAGCCCAACCACATCAGATCCTCCCAAACCTTTGCAACTGTGTGAGTTTGCTATATTTTGTTCCGAGAGCGTGATCAGAATTCCGATATCACAGTTGCTCGCACTGCATGCTATGTGGAGAAAGTACATTTTCTTCCTCTGTTTAAGTGCATCAACAGCATTTAACCATATGTTCTTTGTTGTTTTAGTGTGTAGTCAATAGATTAAACATTTGGTGTTAGCTTATGATATAGGTAGATTGACTATGACTAACCAGCGAATTATTTATACATTATAGGCTCCGTTATGCGTTCAGACTTGCTTGCTTTCAAGTTAGTTTTTATGCAATATGGTACTATGATTGGGACTTTCAAGTCAAAACCAAACGCCCTTTTTAAACAAAAGCATGCCCCTTTTGCAGGAGGGTCTGAGAGGCGATGCAAGATTGAGCTAAGATCTTTCTGTAGAGGTGAGGAATAACCTTACATTGATTTCATTTTGCTTGGTTATGTCATGTCGATGTAGGTTGTAGCCTTGTAGGGGAGGTAAATTGATGTCTTATTATCCCAAGAAAGTCTCACCGTTCACATTTGAACTTTCAATTGTAAGCAAAGCTCTTAAGCTCACATTCCCTTCAAATTTCATGGGATTTATGTGTTGGCACGAAGAAGATTGTGGCATTTTTCGACCCTTTTTCTGCTAAACTTATGATCAGCCAAATTAAGAGTAGGAAGTATTAATTATTTAATAAAGTTCAAACTGGCATAAATTAAATAAAAATTAAAACAAATTTAGCTTTTTAAGCATGAAGCTCCCGATCTAATGTTTTATTTTTTCGTTCATCTATTTCCTTTTCTTGTATGAATTTTTATATTTTATCATTTACTGAAAAGCATGAATCTTTGGCTATATGAAACTGCGCTGCACTTGTGCTCAAACCTTGTCTCAACTCAAAATCTAATACTTTGGAAAAAGGAATGTAACAGAAAAGGCACACCGCCTTACCAAAACTTTTCTACAAGTTTCGTAACCCCCACCATCTTCTTTCTTTGTGAGGCTCAAGCAATTGCAAAGAAAATTTGAAAAAGAAAATTAAATGACAACTTTACGAGTTTCTAATTTTTAATATATTTTTAATCTTGCCAATAAATGAATTTTTTTATCCAATTTAACAAAATAATTACATAATTTTAATGTTTGTTTAAGAGTGTAGAAGAAACTAATTTTTTACAATATTTTTTGTTTAAAAATATATTAAAATATATTTTTTATTTTTTAATATTGGTATTTCAAAACAATAAAAAATTATTTAAAAAAAAAACAGTCCAGCGGCAGTTTTAAATTATTAGAGTGATCTAGACTCCAGAAATCAAAATTTTTGACAAGATATATTTTTTAATTGGATTCGCCCATGGCAGTATTTGTAACTATGTGATCATATTCATCAATCACTCAAGGCATTTGAGTCACTTAAGAAAACAGCTAAATATTAAATCAATAATAAAAGAAGTTCGGTTTTTTAAGCATGAAGCTCCTCATCTTTTTCCTTTTCATTTCTTGTATGAATTTTTATATTTTCTCATTTATACTGGAAAGCATGAATCTTTGGCTAGAGGACACAGATAAACTCGATCTCCTCATTATATTATCCTACCTTAAAAAACATGACACTTTGTCTATAATGAAATCTTGTTTAATTTATTGAAATAATTTACCAAGAACGTATAAACTACGCTTTGTCTCAGCACCTACGATCATAAAGCCCAAGCTTTCTTTTCTTTATTTCTTTGACTTCTTGACGATATGGCTTCTTCGCTATCATAATTTTCTCACTTTTATGTGTTTTGGTCTCGAGATAGGGTGTGAGATAGAGACCTGCATGCAACTTTCCTCTCTTGTCCATCTTTCCTTTCCACCAAATTCCACCAAACTTCTTGGTGGGGGGGTCGTCTCTTTTTTATCCAGGAAGATTGGTTGTCAGCCAAAGAACGAAGGTTTTTGATCTCTGCTTTGCTTTTATTTTTGTTTTTTAGGGTTAATTGACAGAATAAACTTTTAATTGTCTTTTACGGTGTGTGCCCTTTCTCCTTTTGTTTTGAAAACCCAATCCAGATTTTTTTTATTTATGTTTGGTAACAAAAACACACCATAACATTAAAAATAATATAAATTATATCTTGTAATTAATAATTTTAAATTTTAAATTAATATAATTTTTAATATTATATTAAAATTTTCATGATCAAATAATAATACAAAATAATATAAACATACATAAATCTCAATTTCAAGTTTAAAAAATTCCACTTAAATTAATTATTCAATTCAAAATAGCTCCACTCATGGTGAATTTTGATCATTTTTATCAAGTTTCGTGCTGTGATAATCATATCATGTCTGATTATTTGTCCAAAGATAATCATGCAAATGTGAATCCAACAAGAAGAAGCTTCTCTATGAAAAATCACATAGTTTGCACCCGCATGTTCGGGGCGTGTGCAATGCAAAATGTTCATCATATTCTTGTTCTTGATGTGGAGAAGCCATGAAGGATGCCATTATCTGTCCAAGGAATACAGAGAGGTTTAAGATTCTTAGTAAGCTAGCGCTTTTATTTTAGATTAACGTGGGTGTTCAGGTCAGTTTGCGCGCATCACAACTAATTTCTCAGATTTTAAAGTTAACGATTATGTAACCTTCCAGTGACCATCATATAAGTACGAAAGCTGATGAGCATCATGTTCTACAGTTTTGAAGTACTGGTAATTGTTTGATAAAAATAGTTATGTATGTATAATTTTTTCATCGTAAATGACACTATAGCACAAGAAATACCATACTAAAAGTTGCTCGGTAATGCTCAATAGTTAAATCTAATGTTATTGGGTTTGGCTAAATAATAATACTAGGTTTAGCTATCAAGCATGATCTAATAGCACTAGGTTTGGTTACTTAGCCAAACTCAATAACTTCTAAAAAAAACAAAAAACAGACAACACTTCTCATGATATTACAATATCATCTACAATGCAAATATTATATGTTTATAGTGTGATTTATATATTTATAATGTGATCCATAATACAATAAATCTATGAACACAATATCTATGCAACGTTGTTTTTTCTATGTTTTTTTTAAAAAGCTGTTGAATCTAGCTTTCATAGCTAACTTTCACAAGAAAATTCGAGTGATAGTTACCTGCTTTGCTTAACTCAACTGATTAGAAGGTTCCTTTATCAATACTCAACTAAAAAACTAAGAATTAATGATTAATTAGTTCTTTTTTTTCTATATGATAATATAATTTTATTTTATTTTTATCAATAAAACAATGCGGAATCATTTTTTTACTTTAAAAGAATGTTGTACCATTTGATTTAATAAGAAGAGGAAGTGGATCTCATTTTAAAACTGATTGAACCAAGAAGTGAGAAGGAAAGAGAGCAAAATCAAGTTCTTTTCTTTTATTATTTAATATTAATATTATTTTTAAAAATTATATTAATTTATTAAAATTAATTATTTATCATCTTCTTCGGTTAAATAAAACAGACCATTTATGTATGATCAAAAAATTTTATGAATTTTATTAAATCTCCAGTTAGATCCAATGCTACTAAGTATGGCTAGACAATTAGACTTAAATTTTCTTCTAATGAGTCTGGCTCAATTGTCAGTTCTGATCTTATTGGATATAGTCTGAGAGCTAGATCCAATAACTTTGAATTTGGTCATAAGACAAATCAAATATTGTTAGGTTTTGCATGATTGTTAAACCCAAAATATGTAAAATATTTTTTATATTTTTTTTAATATTTAACAAATATTATTAATAGTTGTAGAGAACATGCTAGTTATAAATAGATATGCAACTAACAATTTTTTTTAATTTATTTTCTTTTCAAGAACTAAAGATTTAATCTATCTTCAGCGACGACAACATTGGCATGAAGCACCCAAGAAAACACCAACGAAGTCTTGAGAATCAAGTTTGCTTTAAGACTATAATTATAGGTTTTAGTGGACAATGAAAGTACCGACACCATTCTGTCCCGACATTGGCTTGAAGTTCTGAAGAAAATCAATTGCCAACTTAGTTGAAAAGCTTGTCATAATTTAATTTAAAAGAAAACAAATTATATTCTAAAGATATACGCATACAATTTATAAAAATATCTCATGCTGTAAATCCAGCAGAAAACATCACATTAGTTTTATATCATTAATTGATGACTAAATAGGAGAGAAACTTATGAGTAATAATTAGAGTTTTTAAATCCGCCTGATAATTGTCCGATCCAAGACTTGAATTTTGAGTCTTGACCGAATCGTCTAAATTAATTCTGATTTTTTAAAATTAAAATAATATTATTTTTATAAAAAAAAAACAAAAACAAAAATCAGTAAATTAAAACTGAATTTTTAGTAGGATCTTGCCAGGTCAACCAGCTTACCTTGTATTTTAACTTCTTTTTATTTTTTTTTTAAGCGTAACTCAATTCCAGTTTCAAGTTGATTTATATATGAACATAACCTATGGGTGAACAATCACTTCTAAAAATCAAAACCATGGGAGAGAACCTGTAAATCGATCGCATAAAAATAACAGCACAGTTACTGAAAATCTAGATTTCTGGATTAATAACAACACAGTTACTGAAAATCTAGATTTCTGGATTCTGACGAAACTATAGCAAAAGCATCACAATTTTACACAGGATGGTGAAAATTTACAGAGAGAAAAAGCTACTTGTTATTGGCCACATGAATTAGAACCATGGAAAATTTATATCACCTTGACGAACAGATCTGGTATCAAGTTTCCCGTTTCCCCATCCGCAACGAAACCTTTGTCGCTCATTTCACGAATAAGTTGCACTGCCTCTATATCATTCTCGTGCTGGAGAAATCCTCGGACAATAACATTATAAGAACCTTCACTGGAGGGCAACCATACCTTTTTCATATTTCAGAAAGCTTTCAGTGCTTCATCTAACAGCCGTTCTTTGCAAAGTGCATTGTGATTGTAGTGTATATCCGAATATTAGGCTGCAACCTTTCAACGTGAAGTTTTGAAAACAATTCCCTCCCTGATTTGCACATGGCATCAATCAAGATATTTTATGACGTTGGGCACATTCTTTATTATTCTTGGCATATTTATGTTTATTGTATTATTTACTTCATTGTGAAGATTTTGCGGAGTTTGAAAAAATACACAATGCATTTTGGTAAATCCAGAATGCAGCTTTAAATGGAATCACCTGCAAATTGCAATGCTCTTCCAGCTTAGCTTCAAATTGTACACAGAAGTGGGCAGAGTACATATTTCACACCTTCATTTTGTTGTTACGGGGCATCTGAAGCAGAGATTTGTCAAGCTGTAGAACGGATTGCGCCAGCGGTTGCCAACACAAATACTAGGAAATTGTTCAGACAACAATATTTAGAAATGGCGTGTCCCCTGAATTCCAATTTTGAACTTTTGAACAGAACACTAAAAATTGTAGCCGTGCTTAAGGAAATTGAGTTACTGTTCGCTTAAGGATATGAAGTACATGCTGACGACAATGTATAATGGCACATGACAATTTTTACTAGAAAAGCTAAAAGCAAACCATGAGATAAGTGACGGTTTCATTTGCCCTTTCGAGCTTCAAAATGTACAACCTTGAAACTTTCACACTTTTGATTGCAGGGAAATATAAATTTCCTGAATCTAAACTCTTTTTGAGATATCAATTGATAAGCCTCTGATGTGAAGAGCATAAGATTTTACAGCAGTCTCTGCAATCTCTATACTGCTATAAAGTTATCTAATTCATCTACCTGATTTCATAACTTATATGTGATTGAGAAGAATAAGGCACAAGACCTGTGGCATGATTCCCTTGCTGGAGCAATCCCACACCACAAATGAGAACACATTCAAACACAATTCCTTCAAACACCGATTTTGAAGAGTAAATCCCTGGATTCTGGCCAATCTGCATGATTGAACAGTTAGAATTCTGTATGTTGACTCCCTTTCCCACGGAACAATCCCAAAATCACATTAAACACGAATATTCCTTCAACAAACAACTGCCAGATCAAAGCACCGGCTCCAGCCTGCTTTCTATTTGCAGATTTATGTATAATGTCTAAAATGGTTTTGTAAAATCGGCCCTGCTGGGATGGCTGGAAGTCCTCCTTCAGGTTAGACAAACCAAATTCAGTGAAGAAGACAGGTTTATTTAGCTCATAGTGGCAATCTTCAATATGAGGCGAGAACCATTCATCAAGATGAACTATCATTTTCCTGGCTACTGAAAACATAATATAGAAATCTGATTCAATGTAAGACCAGAACCATTCATCAAGATGAACTATCATTTTCCTGGATACTGAAAACATAATATAGAAATCTGATTCAATGTAAGACCACAACCATTCATCAAGATGAACTATCATTTTCCTGGATACTGAAAACATAATATAGAAATCTGATTCAATGTAAGACCACAACCATTCATCAAGATGAACTATCATTTTCCTGGATACTGAAAACATAATATAGAAATCTGATTCAATGTAAGACCAGAACCATTCATCAAGATGAACTATTAGTTTAGCAATTCCAATGATTTGGTGGCAAGTAACTGGCGCCATTGTTCAGATGTTGACAAGATTGAACTAAAAATAACTTACATGTTGAGGAAAAATTACTTAATATTTGCCACATGAATTTGCAGCATGGAGAAATAAAAGTTTACATCACCTTTTCACCTTGACAAACTTCACGTAGGACTAGATACTTCTTCAAAACAAGATTGTCTTCATTAGATAACAGATCTTCTACGAGGTTGTGGTCCCACATCCGCAATGAAACCTTTGTCTCTCAATTCACCAATAAGTTGCATTGCCATTCATCCCTGTGCTGGAGAAATCCTTGGATAATAACATCTTAGGAAAATTCATCTGGAGGGCAGCCATCCTCTTCCATATTTCAGAAAGCTTCCAATGCTTCATCTAACAATCTTTTTTCACAAAGTCCATTTATTATTGTAGAGTATATCTGAACACCACACTGTAACCCTTTGACAAAGAGTTCTGAAAACAGTTCCCTTGCGTCTTTAAGATTCCTGAATTTGCACATGGCATCAACCAGGAAGTTATACATCACTAGAACAGGATTCAAGCAAGTACTTTGCATTGCTCGAAACAGTCTGAGTGCCTTATCATATTACCCTTGTTTGCAAATGCCATCAAGAAATATTCTAGGAGTTTGCCACTTGTGAGCATGTTCTTGAAAAGCTCTTGTGCTTCCCTAACTCTCCCTAATTGGTAATAGCCATCAATAAGAGTGTTGTGACTGACATTGTTTTGAGTTAAGCCTTGATGAATCATTTCATTAAAAAGTTGCTTGGCCTCATCTATTCTTTCGGCCTTACAATATCCATTAATTAAGATTTTATAACTAAGAACATCAAGTTTAGAGCCCGTGGTTATCATGACATCAAATAGATTTCTAGCTTCATGAACTTCCGTTCGCAAGGAATATCCATACATCAACGAATTGTAACTAACGTTGTTAGGCTCCACACCCATTTCAGTCATTGTTTTGAACACACCTTCAGCCTCGGAAGCCTTGCCTTCTTTACAAATTGTATCAATCAATCAACAGGCAGACGATGACAATACTCAGAATGATATTCAAACTCCTTGTTTCATTTAGCATTGCCGAAGCCTCCTTCCATCAGCTGAAATTGCTTAAGCCCTGCATTAAAGAGGTGTAACTGACAACCGTTGGGGGGATGCCTTTAGCCTTCATCTCGGAGAAGATATCAAAAGCCTCATCATCAGCCTATCTTTGCAAAGACTGTCAATGAGTATACTGTATATCACCACATTCGGCTGGCAGCCTGCCTCTTTCATTTTCTTAAACAATCCAGTAGCTGCAGCAGTTTCCCCAATCTTACATAAGCCATTGATAATTGTATTATAGGTGTGGACATCAAGTTGACACCCTCTTGCCACCATGTCATCAAAGAATTCCATGGCTCGGGCCATTCTACCCACTTTTCAGAGCAGATTGATTGAGGTAGAAAATGTGACAATATCGGGTTTTCTCCAAGTTCAATGATTTTGGACAAGACAGAGAACCCAGGATCCACACGTTTCAAGCAAAGCAATTAATAGTAAAAACATGATTGATTCCTCCCAATTCCATTTGTCTGGACACAGAAAGCACATTCTCAGAATGTCTCATTCTAGCAATTGCAGACAATAGTTTATTGAATTAGACAACACAAGGCCGGGGTTTCCTATAAAGCATGTGATTGAAAGAAGCAAGGGCATCATCAATGTTTCTAAAAGAAGAAGAGGCATCATGATTTTAGGGCTTCCTACTGCTAGTGCTAGAAGAAGAAATGGATTTGAAGTGGTTGCTAGACAACAGTGATAAAGTGGTTGGAGATAGAAGAAACATACCCATTATTTTCACTTGGCATCGATGAATTTGAGACCCAGTAAAAAAGGCTTCTGAACCTTGTCTCACTTCCGCCGCCGCCGCCAGCATCGATTACTCTAATGTATTTCCTTCTCCTCGTGGTTCGGTTTTCTTTTTCGGTGAATGTTGGACCAAAACAACAGACTTACGTACTTACAATTCTTCGTTGATGCTCAGCAAAGGATCGAAAAAAAGCCTAGTGCTCATTGTGACTCAGTGCAACAACAACAATAGCTTATCACAAAGTTCATCTTGATGAATGGTTCTGGTCTTACATTGAATCAGATTTCTATATTATGTTTTCAGTATCCAGGAAAATGATAGTTCATCTTGATGAATGGTTCTGGTCTTACATTGAATCAGATTTCTATATTATGTTTTCAGTATCCAGGAAAATGATAGGTCATCTTGATGAATGGTTCTGGTCTTACATTGAATCAGATTTCTATATTATGTTTTCAGTAGCCAGGAAAATGATAGTTCATCTTGATGAATGGTTCTCGCCTCATATTGAAGATTGCCACTATGAGCTAAATAAACCTGTCTTCTTCACTGAATTTGGTTTGTCTAACCTGAAGGAGGACTTCCAGCCATCCCAGCAGGGCCGATTTTACAAAACCATTTTAGACATTATACATAAATCTGCAAATAGAAAGCAGGCTGGAGCCGGTGCTTTGATCTGGCAGTTGTTTGTTGAAGGAATATTCGTGTTTAATGTGATTTTGGGATTGTTCCGTGGGAAAGGGAGTCAACATACAGAATTCTAACTGTTCAATCATGCAGATTGGCCAGAATCCAGGGATTTACTCTTCAAAATCGGTGTTTGAAGGAATTGTGTTTGAATGTGTTCTCATTTGTGGTGTGGGATTGCTCCAGCAAGGGAATCATGCCACAGGTCTTGTGCCTTATTCTTCTCAATCACATATAAGTTATGAAATCAGGTAGATGAATTAGATAACTTTATAGCAGTATAGAGATTGCAGAGACTGCTGTAAAATCTTATGCTCTTCACATCAGAGGCTTATCAATTGATATCTCAAAAAGAGTTTAGATTCAGGAAATTTATATTTCCCTGCAATCAAAAGTGTGAAAGTTTCAAGGTTGTACATTTTGAAGCTCGAAAGGGCAAATGAAACCGTCACTTATCTCATGGTTTGCTTTTAGCTTTTCTAGTAAAAATTGTCATGTGCCATTATACATTGTCGTCAGCATGTACTTCATATCCTTAAGCGAACAGTAACTCAATTTCCTTAAGCACGGCTACAATTTTTAGTGTTCTGTTCAAAAGTTCAAAATTGGAATTCAGGGGACACGCCATTTCTAAATATTGTTGTCTGAACAATTTCCTAGTATTTGTGTTGGCAACCGCTGGCGCAATCCGTTCTACAGCTTGACAAATCTCTGCTTCAGATGCCCCGTAACAACAAAATGAAGGTGTGAAATATGTACTCTGCCCACTTCTGTGTACAATTTGAAGCTAAGCTGGAAGAGCATTGCAATTTGCAGGTGATTCCATTTAAAGCTGCATTCTGGATTTACCAAAATGCATTGTGTATTTTTTCAAACTCCGCAAAATCTTCACAATGAAGTAAATAATACAATAAACATAAATATGCCAAGAATAATAAAGAATGTGCCCAACGTCATAAAATATCTTGATTGATGCCATGTGCAAATCAGGGAGGGAATTGTTTTCAAAACTTCACGTTGAAAGGTTGCAGCCTAATATTCGGATATACACTACAATCACAATGCACTTTGCAAAGAACGGCTGTTAGATGAAGCACTGAAAGCTTTCTGAAATATGAAAAAGGTATGGTTGCCCTCCAGTGAAGGTTCTTATAATGTTATTGTCCGAGGATTTCTCCAGCACGAGAATGATATAGAGGCAGTGCAACTTATTCGTGAAATGAGCGACAAAGGTTTCGTTGCAGATGGGGAAACAGAAACTTGATACCAGATCTGTTCGTCAAGGTGATATAAATTTTCCATGGTTCTAATTCATGTGGCCAATAACAAGTAGCTTTTTCTCTCTGTAAATTTTCACCATCCTGTGTAAAATTGTGATGCTTTTGCTATAGTTTCGTCAGAATCCAGAAATCTAGATTTTCAGTAACTGTGCTGTTATTTTTATGCGATCGATTTACAGGTTCTCTCCCATGGTTTTGATTTTTAGAAGTGATTGTTCACCCATAGGTTATGTTCATATATAAATCAACTTGAAACTGGAATTGAGTTACGCTTAAAAAAAAAATAAAAAGAAGTTAAAATACAAGGTAAGCTGGTTGACCTGGCAAGATCCTACTAAAAATTCAGTTTTAATTTACTGATTTTTGTTTTTGTTTTTTTTTTATAAAAATAATATTATTTTAATTTTAAAAAATCAGAATTAATTTAGACGATTCGGTCAAGACTCAAAATTCAAGTCTTGGATCGGACAATTATCAGGCGGATTTAAAAACTCTAATTATTACTCATAAGTTTCTCTCCTATTTAGTCATCAATTAATGATATAAAACTAATGTGATGTTTTCTGCTGGATTTACAGCATGAGATATTTTTATAAATTGTATGCGTATATCTTTAGAATATAATTTGTTTTCTTTTAAATTAAATTATGACAAGCTTTTCAACTAAGTTGGCAATTGATTTTCTTCAGAACTTCAAGCCAATGTCGGGACAGAATGGTGTCGGTACTTTCATTGTCCACTAAAACCTATAATTATAGTCTTAAAGCAAACTTGATTCTCAAGACTTCGTTGGTGTTTTCTTGGGTGCTTCATGCCAATGTTGTCGTCGCTGAAGATAGATTAAATCTTTAGTTCTTGAAAAGAAAATAAATTAAAAAAAATTGTTAGTTGCATATCTATTTATAACTAGCATGTTCTCTACAACTATTAATAATATTTGTTAAATATTAAAAAAAATATAAAAAATATTTTACATATTTTGGGTTTAACAATCATGCAAAACCTAACAATATTTGATTTGTCTTATGACCAAATTCAAAGTTATTGGATCTAGCTCTCAGACTATATCCAATAAGATCAGAACTGACAATTGAGCCAGACTCATTAGAAGAAAATTTAAGTCTAATTGTCTAGCCATACTTAGTAGCATTGGATCTAACTGGAGATTTAATAAAATTCATAAAATTTTTTGATCATACATAAATGGTCTGTTTTATTTAACCGAAGAAGATGATAAATAATTAATTTTAATAAATTAATATAATTTTTAAAAATAATATTAATATTAAATAATAAAAGAAAAGAACTTGATTTTGCTCTCTTTCCTTCTCACTTCTTGGTTCAATCAGTTTTAAAATGAGATCCACTTCCTCTTCTTATTAAATCAAATGGTACAACATTCTTTTAAAGTAAAAAAATGATTCCGCATTGTTTTATTGATAAAAATAAAATAAAATTATATTATCATATAGAAAAAAAAGAACTAATTAATCATTAATTCTTAGTTTTTTAGTTGAGTATTGATAAAGGAACCTTCTAATCAGTTGAGTTAAGCAAAGCAGGTAACTATCACTCGAATTTTCTTGTGAAAGTTAGCTATGAAAGCTAGATTCAACAGCTTTTTAAAAAAAACATAGAAAAAACAACGTTGCATAGATATTGTGTTCATAGATTTATTGTATTATGGATCACATTATAAATATATAAATCACACTATAAACATATAATATTTGCATTGTAGATGATATTGTAATATCATGAGAAGTGTTGTCTGTTTTTTGTTTTTTTTAGAAGTTATTGAGTTTGGCTAAGTAACCAAACCTAGTGCTATTAGATCATGCTTGATAGCTAAACCTAGTATTATTATTTAGCCAAACCCAATAACATTAGATTTAACTATTGAGCATTACCGAGCAACTTTTAGTATGGTATTTCTTGTGCTATAGTGTCATTTACGATGAAAAAATTATACATACATAACTATTTTTATCAAACAATTACCAGTACTTCAAAACTGTAGAACATGATGCTCATCAGCTTTCGTACTTATATGATGGTCACTGGAAGGTTACATAATCGTTAACTTTAAAATCTGAGAAATTAGTTGTGATGCGCGCAAACTGACCTGAACACCCACGTTAATCTAAAATAAAAGCGCTAGCTTACTAAGAATCTTAAACCTCTCTGTATTCCTTGGACAGATAATGGCATCCTTCATGGCTTCTCCACATCAAGAACAAGAATATGATGAACATTTTGTATTGCACACGCTCCGAACATGCGGGTGCAAACTATGTGATTTTTCAGAGAGAAGCTTCTTCTTGTTGGATTCACATTTGCATGATTATCTTTGGACAAATAATCAGACATGATATGATTATCACAGCACGAAACTTGATAAAAATGATGAAAATTCACCATGAGTGGAGCTATTTTGAATTGAATAATTAATTTAAGTGGAATTTTTTAAACTTGAAATTGAGATTTATGTATGTTTATATTATTTTGTATTATTATTTGATCATGAAAATTTTAATATAATATTAAAAATTATATTAATTTAAAATTTAAAATTATTAATTACAAGATATAATTTATATTATTTTTAATGTTATGGTGTGTTTTTGTTACCAAACATAAATAAAAAAAATCTGGATTGGGTTTTCAAAACAAAAGGAGAAAGGGCACACACCGTAAAAGACAATTAAAAGTTTATTCTGTCAATTAACCCTAAAAAACAAAAATAAAAGCAAAGCAGAGATCAAAAACCTTCGTTCTTTGGCTGACAACCAATCTTCCTGGATAAAAAAGAGACGACCCCCCCACCAAGAAGTTTGGTGGAATTTGGTGGAAAGGAAAGATGGACAAGAGAGGAAAGTTGCATGCAGGTCTCTATCTCACACCCTATCTCGAGACCAAAACACATAAAAGTGAGAAAATTATGATAGCGAAGAAGCCATATCGTCAAGAAGTCAAAGAAATAAAGAGAAGAAAGCTTGGGCTTTATGATCGTAGGTGCTGAGACAGCGTAGTTTATACGTTCTTGGTAAATTATTTCAATAAATTAAACAAGATTTCATTATAGACAAAGTGTCATGTTTTTTAAGGTAGGATAATATAATGAGGAGATCGAGTTTATCTGTGTCCTCTAGCCAAAGATTCATGCTTTCCAGTATAAATGAGAAAATATAAAAATTCATACAAGAAATGAAAAGGAAAAAGATGAGGAGCTTCATGCTTAAAAAACCGAACTTCTTTTATTATTGATTTAATATTTAGCTGTTTTCTTAAGTGACTCAAATGCCTTGAGTGATTGATGAATATGATCACATAGTTACAAATACTGCCATGGGCGAATCCAATTAAAAAATATATCTTGTCAAAAATTTTGATTTCTGGAGTCTAGATCACTCTAATAATTTAAAACTGCCGCTGGACTGTTTTTTTTTTAAATAATTTTTTATTGTTTTGAAATACCAATATTAAAAAATAAAAAATATATTTTAATATATTTTTAAACAAAAAATATTGTAAAAAATTAGTTTCTTCTACACTCTTAAACAAACATTAAAATTATGTAATTATTTTGTTAAATTGGATAAAAAAATTCATTTATTGGCAAGATTAAAAATATATTAAAAATTAGAAACTCGTAAAGTTGTCATTTAATTTTCTTTTTCAAATTTTCTTTGCAATTGCTTGAGCCTCACAAAGAAAGAAGATGGTGGGGGTTACGAAACTTGTAGAAAAGTTTTGGTAAGGCGGTGTGCCTTTTCTGTTACATTCCTTTTTCCAAAGTATTAGATTTTGAGTTGAGACAAGGTTTGAGCACAAGTGCAGCGCAGTTTCATATAGCCAAAGATTCATGCTTTTCAGTAAATGATAAAATATAAAAATTCATGCAAGAAAAGGAAATAGATGAACGAAAAAATAAAACATTAGATCGGGAGCTTCATGCTTAAAAAGCTAAATTTGTTTTAATTTTTATTTAATTTATGCCCGTTTGAACTTTATTAAATAATTAAATTTGACATGTTTTTTCTTATTAAAGGGCTATATGAACTCATTTTTTCTCTCGTAACACAAACATATTATCAACAAGTTAGGTGAGGTTTTTATAGGCCGCTTTAAATGAAAGTTTTTAAAATTTAAAATTTGTATAAATCTATATTATTTTATACTTAATTTTTATTAAATAAATAAAAATAATAAAATTTAAAATTCATGATCGTTTGATTATCAAGGTTCTAATATAATATCAAAAAACCATCTCAACCCAATAGTTTAAGCTGATAGGTAAGATCCTAAGATATAATTTATATTATTATTCTTTAACATTTGTAATCAAAACTCTCTTAACTTTTAATTAATTTTAATTTAAATACAATAAAAAAATAAGTTGAATTTTTTGCATATGTTTTTTCACTACTTTGGATTTCTCCTAGCTTCTAAAGAATACGGTTACAAATTTAACCAAATTAGTATATATTATTTACTAATAATGTTTTCTTTAAAAAAAAATCTCAAGCTAAAATTGTTAATTACAAATAATTGCATTATCATTATCAGTATAGTGTTATTTATTTTAAAATAATAATATAATTAAACTTGATTAACCTAATAAATTATCTCACTGATTGACTTGACTCCTATAAAATCTGTTTTGATATAGTTTCAAGAAAATTAAAATTAAATATTTTTAAATTAATGTAGATTAACTAGACTGCTTAGGAGTCGAGTCCAGTCGTTGACTGTACGGATTTTAATAATAATGACTATGACCCTTAAGTGTGAACGGGAAATCAAGATATTGAAAATGAGTAGAAAATTTTGATGCCAGTTCACTCACTATTTTCTTCTTTCCGTGGAAGAAGTGAGGAAAGAGAGAACAGAAAGATAAGTATTGTGCAGGTTACATGAATTTGCCTTATATATATTTTTTTTTATGCTTGCCATTTGGATAAAAATTATAATTCTATTTTCAAATTAATTTTCCCCTATTTAATTTCAAGTACTTTCCTTTGGTTCCCATTTTTTTTTATGATAATTAACAGCTACAAACACAATTAGTATGTGGTTAATATGGTTTAATTCATCTTTATATAAAACCTAAACATAGAAATCATGTGAAATTCAATTAAAAAAATTAGTTAATTTAAATGATGTATTTCATTTAAGAACAAATGACATACTTATTGTATTCCGAATAAAAGACATCTTTATATAACAATTCTTTTAATTTCAATAGAAAAAAAAAATAAAAAATATATATAGAGAAAAAATCATTTGTTCCAATAAAAATTAGAAACTCGCATAATTATACAAGGAAAAACATTATTTTCTTTTCTTTTCTTCAAATTTTATTTCCAATTGCTTGCTACCCACGAAAAAGAAGACGGTGGGGCATACAAAACTTGTAGAAGTGCAGTGTAGTACTGTGCTTTTTATGTTATATTCCTTGTTCCAAAGTAACGCGGCTTGAGCAGAAGTGCAGTGTAGCTTTTCCCTATATAAATGTGATGCCTTAATTTGCTGTCCCCGGTGCCACAGCCAGCCACAACAGCTGAGCTCCGCATTTCATATTTCGTTTTTCCTTCGAAAAAAGAAGACTTTGTGGTCCTCTTGTTCATCCCTCTTCAATGTCTACAGCTTCATCTTATGCAATTAAGAGGCCTAGCTAGGTCCTCGATTCCTGTTTTAGGAAGAGGAATGAAATACATGCTTCTCATGCTACTTTTCTTGCAGGCACGCATATTTAACGGCAAAAGATGACACCTTCTGAATATAACGTTGGAGATAGATTTAGTCCGACTAAGGACGAACTAATAACTCATTTTCTAATGCAAAAATTACTTGGGAATGATCACCTAGTCAGCAGAATCCCCCTACTTGATGTCTACCAGCGTGATCCCTGGGATTTACCTTGTAAGTAGACGATCCGTGTTTTGTCTTTCTTCTCTTATAAATTTTCAAGTGCGGACAAGCTATCTAGTTGTGTTAACTATTTTCCAAGTTTGATTAGATTTTGCTGGGACAGATTCAGATGATGGAGAGGGATATTTCTTTTCTCCTCTCCATCCTAAGTACCCCGGCACAAATAACGGGAGAATCAATAGGTCAACAAGAACAGGTTCATGGCTAGCAAAAGGAAAGGATTATGAGATAACATCTCAACATAATGGAGAAGTAATTGGTATCAGAAGAATTTTTGTTCATTCTTGTAATAAAGATGGGATCAAGTATGTGATGCACGAGTTCAGTATACCCAACCAGGTGCGTAGTGTGTGTTTATATACATGTGTGTGTGTCAAAGAGTAGAAGAAGATTATTGTTTATATCTCCATCAAACAGCTTAAGTTTAGTTTTGATAATCAACTGATCAGGAGTTCACATCGTAATTATATAATTATATTAGAGGGAATTCGTATGGTTCCATAATTTTTGAGTTGTGTTTCTTGAATCCCATTTGCCGGTCCATCGTTTGTAGAATTCTCTGGTTCTGTGTAAATTAATGAAGAAGATGCCAAGTAAGAAGAGTGAAGGAACATGTAAGAAGGTTAAAAAGAGAAAGGAGGCGGCTGAACTGCCACTGCCAATATGTAACGAGGATAATAGTACTCTATCATCTGGTCTAATGAAGAAGAAGATGCCAGATAAGAAGAGTGCAGGACCATGTAAGAAGGTTAAAACGACACAAGATAAGGCTGATATGCCATATAACAAGGAAAATATTATTCCAGTACCAGATGAAGGTTCGGATTTCGAAAACTGGATTACCAGTGATAAGAGTGATTATAATAATATTATCGATAATAAAGGTGAGGTAGGAGGTTAACTTTGTTGTAGTCTATTCATCAAGAAACAAAAATAATAATGTCATCTTGAAAATGAATATACAGATCAGCAGACCGCAAAATCTACATGTGAAAATGGCGGAACAAATTGCCTGAAGACTTCTTCTGCTTCTGTATACCATGTCGCAGATTTTACAACTCCAGAAGATTATCAGGTGAGACTTGAGGGCGGATTCTCATGGGAAACTTTCAATCTTTGCATATATAAGCCTAATGCTTGGTTTTTTTGTTTCTCTCTACAGGGAGACCCTGAAATACTACCACATTTGCAATCATTCTCTGGTTATGATCAGCAGGACCTTACCCTTCATGACTTCACTCTAGATGATGATCTTTACATCTGGCTTGAACCTCTGTGGTCTTGACCAGTCGGTGGAGAGTGTTTCTTAGCTACACCCTCTTGTGTACCGATAAGAAACAAAACTAGAAAATAGAAAGTAAGAAACAAACTCTCTTTCTCCCCTATGTTGATTTGATCACTGGGGTTAATATTACCACTAGTTATTAATCAGCAACCGGTTATGTAACTTGTAGAAGTGTGTAATTACTATAATCTTTTTCGAAAACAACCTAAATATTTAATCGCATTTAAAAATAAGAACTCAAATATATTTTCAATTAATTTAAGAAATTAATAGGGTATTACATATATATATATATAATATTTCAAATTAAACAAATATAAAATGTAAAAATCCTTATCTACTTAATTCTAATCCTGATATTTGGAACTAGCAACACAGATATTTACAGAATTACTTTTTATTCTGTCAATTTTTTTTTTACAGAATTACTTTTTATTCTGTCAATTTATTTATTTTTAAAAAAATAAATGACGCATTATAATATGTTAATTCAAATAACGTATTATAATTTTAGTTAATTTTTCTTATATTAAAAAAACTACATAATATCTTAATTAATAATATGAGATAGAAATTTATTTAAAATATTTTTTTTCATGTGTTAATTTAAGATTAAAAAAAGTGCAAATTAATTACATATTTGTCTTGCATTATTGAGTTACTAAGAAGAGAATAATCGGATTTTAGAAAAATCAACTTGCAGAATAGTTAACATGTATAAATTTATTAATTTGAATAGTATATATGCCATGGTGTAGAAGCATATATTTAAGATTGAAATGACAATAAAAAACATAAAAGGTGTGTGTATGTGTATAAAGTACTTACCGGAAACATCATTAATTTAAAATATAAAGACGGATGAGCTATTTATCAAAATCATAATAAAAGGCATCATATGCAAGTTATGTAATTATTATGTTAGTTTGGATAGAAAAATAAATAGAGAAACAAAATAAGATATTATATTTATTTAAAAATTAAATTAGCACAATTACCAAAAACAAAAGGAAAATTGAAGGTGGCTACTGTTCATATGAACAATTAGCGTTTTGTCTAGTTTTGTTTTCAATTGCATTATTTACAGTGTAATTATATGAAATTAATTTCTAAATTAAAATATAAAGAAAATATATGAATCACCCTAAAATCATGATAATTTTTACTTTGTTTCCAAAATTTGCTTTTCAATTCCTGGGTTAGAAAAAAGAAAAAGAAAGTTATTAAAAAACAATAAAAAAAAGAAATTATCAGCTATCACGATATTAATAACAAAAATGACTTGATATTAATAAGTTTTATTTGATAATGAAAATTCAATAATAATGAACTTTTTTTATAAATATATTTAAAAAATAAAACAAAATATCTTTTCAAATTTAAGTAATTAAATACTGATTTTGATATTCATGAATGATTTTGATATTCATGAATGATTTTAAAGTAATTAAATACTAGTATTTATTTTATAAAAAAATCATTTTAGCTTTAGATTGTTTTTAAAAGTTAAAATCATTTTATTCTAGCCGTGCAAGGTGGTTGGTTAGGCCCATGCACCAAGGTTTTTGTTTAAAGCCCTGATATGTTAAGCCACTCAAAGTTACATGTATAATTTGATTAGTTATTTTTTTAATAAAAAATCTTTTAACAAGGGTTTTTTTTTATGAATTTGATATTTTTTTAATTTTATTTTTTAATATTATATTAATTTTAAATTGATTTTTATTTTTTTATCACATAATTAAAATATAAAAAATTATTATTGAATTCATTAGAACCTATAAACCCGGATCATAAATTTAACGAGTTAACTTGGATTAATTAGAATTAATTCAATATATCATCTCAATATATATAAATATATATATATATATAAAAGATAAATTTTTAAAAAAATTTGAGTGTTTGATCTTTATTTTTTATATTATTTTTTACCTTTTAATTATTTTTATTTTTAAACCTATCAAGTTATATCAAAACAACTTTTATATGATTTAATTAAAAATTTAAACTTTATAAAAACTCAAATTAAAAACTTCTAAATTTAAATTATTAAATCAAATTTAATAACACCATATTATATAAGAAAAAAAAATTTCTTTTCTTTTCTTAACACCCTAAAATCATGATAATTTTTACTTTATTTCCAAAATTTGCTTTTCAATTCCTGAGTTAGAGAAAAGAAAGAGAAAGTTATTGAAAAACAATAAAAACAAAGAAGGAAATTGTCAGTTGTCGCAGTATTAATAACAAAAATAATCAAACTTGATATGAATGAGTTTCATTTGACAATAAAAGTTCAATAATAATGAACTTTTTCTATAAATATGTTTAAAAAATAAAACAAAGTTCCTTTTTAAATTTTAGATTTGGTTGATTTTGGTATTCATAAATGATTTTAAAGTAATTAAATGCTAGTATTTATTTAAAAAAATTTAGTTTCACATTTTTTTAAAAAATTAAAACCATTTTATTCTAGTCGTCCAAGTTGATTGACCAAGCCTACACACCTAGGCTTTTGTTTAAAGCCCTGATATGCTAGGCACTCAAAGTTACATGTCTAATTTGATCAAGTTTGTTTTTTAAACAAAAAATCCTTTAATAATAGGTTTTTGATGAATTTATTATTTTTTTAATTTTATTTTTTAATATTATATTAATTTTAAATTAGTCTTTATTTTTTTTATTACATAATTAAAATATAAAAAAATATTATTGAACTCATTGGAATCTACAAACCCGAATCATAAATTTAACAAGTTAACCTAAATTAATTAAAATTAATTTAATATATCACCATTTATCTCTCTATATATATATATAAAAGATGAGAACTTTTTTTTAAAATTTGAACGTTTGATTTTTATCTTTTGATTATTTTTATTTTTAGACGTACTAAGTTATATCAAAATAATTTTAACATGATTTAATTAAAAATTTAAACTTTATAAAAACTTAAATTAAAAACTTTTAAATTTAAATTATTAAATCAAATTTAATAACACTATATTATATAAGAAAAAAATCATTTTCTTTTCTTTTCTTTTAAAAAAATTTCTTTCCGAGTACTTGCTGCCCAAGAAAGAAGATAGATGGGGCCTACGAAACTTGTAGAAAGGTTTTGGGAAGGCGTTGTGCTTGTTCCGTTATATTCCTTTTTCCAAATCAACGCGGTTTCAGCGCAAGTGCAGTGCAGGACAGTTTTTCCCTATATAAATGTGCTGCACCTCTCGCTCCAGTGCCACGCCAGGTGAGTTCTTCACTTTTTATTTCGTTTTTACTCTTGATCTCTCTTCAGTATCTAAATCTTCATCTACAATTAAGAGGGCCTTTTGCTAGGCCCCCCCAATTCCTGTTTTAGGAAGAGGAATGAAATATATCCTTCTATCAGTGTGAGTATGTATAATTTTATCTTTTAGTTTTTTTTTTCCTACTAATAACGATGTAGACAGCTGCTGTTCTTAATTATATATTTAGCATCTTGTCACTGCTTCTTGTTGTTTATAGTTCGTCTTATGCTAGCAGGCACGCATATTTAGCGGCAAAAGATGACACGCATGACAACACCTTTCGAATATAACGTTGGAGATAGATTTAATCCGAATGATGAAGAACTAACATATCATTATCTAATGCAAAAATTACTTGGGAATGATCACCTAGTCAGCAGAATCCCCCTACTTGATCCCTACCAGTTTGATCCCTCCGATTTACCTTGTAAGTAGACGATCCGTGTTTTGTCTTTCTTTCTCTTATAAATTTTCAAGTGCGAACTAGCTATCTAGTTGAGTTAACTATTTTCTGAGTTTGATTAGATTTTGCTGGGACAGATTCAGATGATGGAGAAGGACATTTCTTTTCTCCTCTCCATCCCAAGTTCCCGGGCACAAATGACGGGAGAATCAATAGGTCAACAGGCACAGGTTCATGGCTAGCTACAGGAAAGCATTGTGAGATAACATCTCAACATAATGGGGAAGTGAATAGTGGTATCAGAAAGATTTATGTTCATTCTCGTGTTAAAGATGAGATCAAGTATGTGATGCACGAGTACAGTATACCCAACCTGGTGCGTAGTGTGTGTTTATATACGTGTGTGTGTGTGTGTGTGTCAGAGTAGAAGAAGTTTAGTTTTGATAATTAAGTGATCAGGAGTTCACATCTCATCATCTTAATTATATAATTATATTAAAGCGAAAATTCGATGGTTCCATCATTTTTGAGTTGTTTTTCTTTAATCCCATTTGCCGGTCCATCTTTTGTAGAGTACTTCTCTGGTTCTGTGTAAAGTAATGAAGAAGATGCCAAGTAAGAAGGTGAAAAAGAGAAAGGAGGCGGCTGAACTGCCACTGCCAATATGTAACGAGGATAATAGTACTCCAGCATCTAGTGTAATGAAGAAGAAGACGTCAGTTAAGAAGAGTAAAGGACCAGGTAAGAAGGTTAAAAGGACAGATGAGAAGGCTGATATGCCATGTAACAAGGAAAATATTACTCCAGTACCAGATGAAGGTTCTGATTTAGAAAACTGGATTACCAGTGATAAGAGTGATTTTTCAACCTATAATAATATTATCGATAATAAAGGTGAGGTAGGAGGTTAAATTTGTCGTAATCTATTCATCTTGAAATCTAATCATCAAAATAACTAATGTTCTTGAAAATGAATATGCAGATCAGCAGACTGGGAAATCTACCTGTGATAATGGCGGAACTCCTGCTTCTACATGCCCTGTTTCAGATTTTACAATTCCAGAAGATCAGGTGAGACTTAAGAGCGGAGCCTCATGGGCAACTTTCAATCTTTGATAAAAAACCTAATGCTTGCTTTCTCGATTCTCTGCACAGGTAGACCCTGAAATACTACCACATCTACAATCGTTCCTTGGTTATGATCAGCTGGATTATAGCCGTTATGACTTCACCCAAGTTGATCCACCACTGATCACAGAGCAAGTCAGCACTAACAATGGCCCTGCAGGAACTTCCATGTTCGACCCAGAGGAAGATCCTTTCGACGTGCTTGAAACTTTGTGGGCTTGACCAGTCAGCGGAAAGAGTTCCTTTCCAGTACCCTGTAATGTGCTGATAAGAAACATAAACCAGAAAGTAGAAAGGAAGAAACAAGCTGCCTTTTCCCCCTAAGTTGGTTGATCACTGGG